TACACTTTAAAATGCCTCTCCCCCCATGCGTCTCTAAATGACTATGGTCTTTCAAATAACTAATTTTGGCACTGTATTAAACATTAAGTACAAAGGGGCAGCTGCAAATTATCTGGAACGCACATTGATTGATTGTTTGGGGGATTACGCAAATAATACCACTCAGTTTGCACCCCAATCAGAAAGTAATAAAGTTTTCTGTTCCACGAGAATAAAATAGAGTAAAATATGTGATATGTGATAAAACACTGCCATGGTTCACCCATTTGCATAAGGACCTACAACAGTATTTAAAATACTGCATGGATTGGCGCAACACCTTTTCAACAAAGCTGACATAGTGAGCCAAGTTATTTACATCACGGGCATCATTTACTCGGCCTCAAAAAATTACTTACAACTTAATTGTGCGTATAACCATTGAGCCACAGGAGAACACTAACCTACTACAACAATAACCGGAATGGAGCAATTCCATATTCCGGACCGGAAACAATCAAGCACTATACCTTGCGATTAATATCGAAAAGCGGCGATGTCCACTCGAAAATTCTGGTTAAAATCCTATGATCATCAATTATATGAGTAGGTATTATCGGTATTTGGCAAAAAACGCCGATCGTGACACCGACTGATTTTCACTGTTTGTTTACGTTTCCATAAAGGCGCGGGAAACGCGCGGTGGGGGTGGGGAGGAGGAGAGGGGTAGGGGACGCGGCACGGCAAAGGGGGAGAGCAATAATTACGGCACACTCACTGACATAGGGATCGCCCAGAAAGTACGTCCATCAATCGCCGTTACAAACCTACCAAGTTCAGCTTGTGCATGGTCTCATAGCGCCTGACGAGTAGGCAACATCCTGCCTACAGTGCATACGTGTACTGCGGGGTGGCCTACCCCGTGTCTCGCAGGCGCCGAGCTCCCGTTATTTGCCAAATGATTTTGAGAAAAACGGACGTACTTTCTGGACGATCCCATATCGTGGTCGCGGGATGTGATTCTTGCCTGAGGTAGGCAATACCGCCTCGCCTGTCCAGGATGTGATCCTTTGGGGATGCTTTCCGTCCTGCGCATCGTTGTGTGGCTCCAGGCGGCAACGCCAGGGAAGTGCCAAGTGACAATAGTGAAATGCATTTCATATGATCATATGATCAGGATATAAACTATTATGGGCGATTTGCTATTAATAATATTTATATTTGGCGACTTTTAAGAAAAATGCACCAGCCCGTGTGTACACGACGTTTGGAGCCGAATCGTATTTGTCGTGGGAGTGTCATCGGCGTGCTCTGGAGGTCCCCAATGACGTCTCCGGGGACCCGGACGACATCGGCACTACCAGATTTGGACTCAGCGTGCGAGAAAATCCCCGAACACGATAATTCAGTCACCCTGGTCGTTCCGAGGTTGACAGTCGGTCGGTCAGTCGGCCAAACCGTATTTTATTTTGACAGCCCCGTAGCGCCGGGGAGCCCGGACGCCCGTCGGGCCGGCGAGTCGGAAGGGTTGCCTCCACGCCGGGCGTCCACTGACTCGCTTGGGCCTCACCACCCCTCCGCTGTTACCGTTTCTACCTTTCTACATCTAGTTGTTATATAGCCCGTAAGGTTACATTGAAATAGGAACGGACCGTAAAACAAATAAACAGCCGGGCGGCGAGGCATTTTCACCGTGTTTACATTTTCTCTCTTATTCTATAAAACAACGATTTATTAGATTACGCTGTCGAAGAGCCGGCGGGGCATACTCGTGGGGTCTTGAAATTTGGCTTTGCAACTCAACTTGGGACATTTCAACAACTGTCAACAGTAAATTACACAATTTTATTTGTCAACCATTCAAGTATAAAAAGAAAACCAAATTAAATTTGAAGGTACTAAATACAACTCAGTACAACTCACTGAATGTGTTCACATGAACGAATCATGACAGATGGTTCTTGACTATTTTGCCCTTACAGTATTCAACAATCACAGTTATTCGGGCTTTCACTTGATGCGACCCAGTGTGTGTTCTTGTTAAGAGCACAGGTTGAAGGATAAGAAAGATATTGAACAAAAGAGTTTAACATGGCTATAAAGTGACGCTTGTACAACGACTGTCTGAGCTCCATTCAATAGATATGACACCTACCCCATCTTTGAGGTTTCAACACTCCTGCAGAAAGAAAAAAAAATCAATGTAAATAAATTGATGCCAAACACCAAGGTAAAAAGTAAGCTTAAGATTATTATTTTTTTTTAAATTTATGATGCCCCTAATAAATTTAGAGGATATTATCATCATATATTGTATATCATAAATTAATTTCAAAGTAACATACATGTTTCACTTCCTGCTTCTGATTCACTTCCTGCTTCCGATTCACTTTCTTGTTTCTTGTCTTTAAGGCTATCCAGAATTATAGCCCTCCTCTCCCTGTCTACATCAGATTCATAAGATCCTTTTCCAATAGAAGACACAGACTCCATAGAATGACCAATCCCAATCTTCTATGCGGAGCCAAAAAGACAAAATAATTACAAATGAATCAAAAATTCTACTATTATAAAAGTATCTTTTCATATCCTGGATTATTTTTTGACTTTACCTGGTCTGCTTTACACTCAATATTATAATGTTTGAGTGAATATTGTAATTTTGTCCAATCATCTGACTCGATATGTGAAGAATAGAGACGTGAAGCTAAACAGCCAGGAAGATAGACATTGTGAGGACCCAAAATTTCTTGGAGAAGCTTAAAGCGATCTTGTACTAGATGATAACATGGTGTGCATCTTAAGAATGAATAGAAGCCACTTTTTTCTTTGCAATATGGAAGTAATACCCTGATGATCCTGCAGAAAGATAAGAAATATACAGATCCAACAAGTCACCAGTGAAACAGATGAGGGAAAAACATTTGTAGAAATAAATCCGAACTTTGTTTTGTTATTTCACCTTTTTTGGGGAGCATTGTACACAATACACTGTCTAAGGGCATTTTCCACAAAACCACTTGCAAAGAAAAGGGAGAATACACTAACTATTTCATTAGGTTGACAAGTGGACGGAGGTTTGGACACTACAAGGATTAGGTCTGCATCCGCCAACTCTCTGCCCCACCAATCATCAGGATCCTGTGATAGAGTCACCATAGATAATGAAACAGAAATTAGTTTGACTACAGCTACAAAATACGGTACAATGATTAGATTTTAGCATACCTCATTTCCTTTTATGTCTTCAAAATAGCATACTTTCATGAAACGTCTAAGAAAATTTACGAAGGTTGCCACAACTTTAAGATGTCTTCTTGATGAAGGGTAATAGACAATGACGCACCTGCTCGGAATTGAAAAATTTCTTCCTGCAGAAAAATTAGAGAACACACATACAGTACCAGCTTTTCACAATCATCTCAAAAACAAATTAACACCTGCATAAGCAGAAAACATCTTTCCTGACTACCCTTAGAAGAAGCATTTACTGACCTGAAAAATATTTTATGAATGTAACACTGAGAAAAACCAATAGGATGACACACACACACACACAAAAAATAGTAACAGTGGTTCCAAGCCTATAATTTATAGGTGAAGAGCCTGGTAAAATTAAAAGAAAAAAAGGAATGAGATTGTGTGGTTTTAAGCTTCACCGAAACAACCATAAAATCGTGATACTACAATCTTTGACTTACGGGTTGTAAATGGTATTGAAAAGGAAGGCTGACCCCAACCATTGTCTGAAATCTTTCCTTCAACAGAGATCTGATACTGTGTGAATGGATACAGTTTATCACAAAATTTGTGATTTGTTCCATTGATGACAAACTCATCCACAGTGGTGTCATTCCCCTCATATAATCGCACCCTGTAGCTGGATATATTGTCATGAGAGGCAGCCCAATGAACTGTTACACACTGAGCATGGAATTGAATATATACCAAAATTTGAGTATCTGAAAAAGAAAGTGAAACATAAACTTCATATTGGTTATTTAGGTAGAGCAAAAATTACAATTTGATAATTTGAGTACCATTTTTCTGGGGGATTTTAAACTGAAATTTCTCAAACTCTGCCTTTTTTCCATCTGATACTTGATACTCTAAAGTAATAATACCACATTTAGATAATTGGGATGAAAACCATTTACAGTCCCAGAACAAAAGTGCAGATTCCGGTATAGTGATGTCTGAGTTTGAGACATTAGTGACATTCCAGCATACCATTTCGCTTCTCAAATCACATTGTATTTTCATTCTATAAGATAAGGCTGAAAAATTAAGCTAATAATAGAAAACTCCCAATAAGCACTAGATCAAAAACACACACACCCCAAAAAAATACTTACAAGAAAATTTTATGTTGGAGAATGAAACATTCACATTAGGAGCAGATCTCTTCTCCTTAAAATATGTATAGGGCTTTATCTTTAAATCAGTTAAAGAAAATGATTCATCTTGCTGTAGTGGAATTTCATAGAATGGTATTGAGAAATTAAGTTTGCTGCAATCTAAAACAAACAAAATACATAAAATCACAACTCCTTCTAAAAGTATGACCGAATTTCCTGTTAATTATAGATGTTTAAATAATAATGGAAGCTGATGCGAGTGGCAAGGAAATGTTTATAGATTTGTTTTGAGCTAGCGGGGAGTAGATGCGTACAATAGACACACAAATGCCTCCATATCATGTTTGAGTCTACTTGGTAGTTGGTCTCAGCTCAGCCAGAAGTGCTCCCTCTAGAGAACGTCTAGATGGAGTATTTCTGGCTGGGAGATGATGAAATGAAGTTGCCTCACCTTGTTCGTGTAAGATCTCTTTAGCTTGGCAGGTCACACCCTAAATAGAAAACAAAGTAAAGAAATTAGGCTTAAGCAAAACTCCTTTATTTACTTATTTGTACTTGTTCCAATGAGATAGGTTTCAAAAGGAGTTGTGTGAAATTGAAGCCAAATTTAATGTTTACCATTTGGGTAAAAACATCTGGGCAAGGTGAATTATTTCCACTGGTGATGTTGCAAAACGGAGACTTCGAGTAGGTCCTGGAGATTCCGTATCCCTTCGTTATCATTGCGAAAATGAAGATGAGGACCGATCTCAGACTCGTCATTTCGAAAAACGATCTTTCTTTCAACCACTACACCAAGTACAGCCTTCGGAATTATTGAATTATACCGAATTGCAACGGAATGCAAATATATAGTTCTGCCGGTAGACCAAAACCTTGAGAAAAGACGCAGCCTATTCCTATTGATTGTATCCAAACATTGAACGAAACCAAAACATTGTCTGCTGGCGCTGGCGGCGAAGCGGCTGCTGAACTGCAATATGACTGCGAATAGGCAGTATGAAAAATTCTACAAGCGCAGTTTCTGCGGGTCTCCTTGTAAATTTTGTGGTAAATCGCCGCGGCAGGGTAATAACTTCTCCCCACGATCAAAATCCTGACATATGGCGGGACTGCGCTGCTCACTAGAAACAATCCTTTGCGCACTGAAGGTGCCCCTACAATTCACGGGTCTCACGAGACAACGCTCGCTAGTGTTAGCGCCTGCCACACGCTGGGTAGGCCATCCCGCCTAGCAGCGGAGAGGAGCCGGCGGCCCGCCCGGAGCGCCCAGAGCTGCCGGCAAGAGGAGAGTTTGTCGCTCATCGTCGAAAAAACGACGCTTGCATATCATCTATGGCTAATCAGCGAAGTTTGGCTTGTTAAAAAATTGCGAGGAAAGGGGGAGGAGAGGTGGGGCTGGCAGTGGACGAGTGTCACATCTTTTTTCAACGCGGAGCCAGAAAGGGCAGATAAAAAGGAGGGGGGAAACTGCACCCGCCGCGAGTGACGCACCGTCTGACCTCTGGTACAAGAGCCTCCCTGGCTCGCCTTCAGACACAACGAGCAAACATCTTTGTTGTGAGCCGCCAGCAAGATTTACTTCCCGCGGTGAAGCCCTCGAAGATTTGCGATTGATTGCACGATTTATTTATATTTATATAGCCAAAATTGGCAAGAATTGTGAATTCTCCTGGAGTTCGTTCGTATTTTCCTCCGTTCGCCTGGAGAGGACTCCACGACCCAGAAATGGTAGTATCTAATCTTCACGTGAAAACGGATGAGAGAAATGGCATCATACGCCCCTTTCCGACCGGGACCGCCCCTACTCAAAGAGGACAAAGTGGTGCCTGAGAGTAGTGCGCAGTTAATCGATTTGGAAGTTAGCGGGGGATGTGCTCTGCGGGGCTGCCTGCATGGCAACACGCGGTGGTGGTGTCGAGGGCCCGACTCGTCAGTCGTGTCTGCCGGTCATTCCCTCCGCCGGAATAATGAAAAGAAAAAGAAAAGGCAATAAGAGCTCGCGAACGATTGTTGGACTATGGCGAACGAGACCGCGAGCAAGAAGCAGAGGAAAGAAACGCCGAGTAGTTTGATGCCTGCCGGGATGCATCCGGGACACGTCGGCTTGTTGGCGGGCCCAGCAGCAGGCTCGCGCGCGGGGACGCGTCGCCGTTTTCGGACGTGGCGATAGCCGGTCAGGTGTCAGGCGGGCCGTGCTCGGCTCCGTCGTGATGGGGAGTGACTCACCGCACCAGAGGCTGCTGAGCAGGCTGTGTACCTGTAGGCTCCAATATTTACAATATTACAATACATACAATATTTTACAATGCTGCCCTACGAGCGGACGGGAGCGGAGGGGGGG